GGGACCAGGTAGCAGAAGAGGGGGAAGGCGGGGGTGGGGGGTGGGGTGGTGGTTAGCTCTGGGCCTGGCAAGGCCTGGGGTCCCTGGAAAGATGGCAGCTAGGGTGCCAAATCCCCAGGACAAGTCAGCATCTCAGAGGTCCTTCAACCTTTTAATCAGAAAAAGTAATCATTAATTATTAACCCCATGTCGATGTTATCAGTTAATGACAACAAAGGCTGCCATTTATCCCACACTCAGTACGAGGACCTGTGATACACGTATGGTATGTAATTCACTTATTCTCCCCAAGAGGGCCACAAGGAAGGGACTTTCAAAAGGCTCTTTTTAAAGATGAGAAAACTGAGGCTCAAGAATATTTCATAGCTAGGAAAACTGATGCTAAAATGAGAGACTGAGGAGCATCGAAACAGGAGTCAAGAAATCCTTGGTTGTGACCTCACTAGGTGAGTGGTCCTATGCAGGTCGCTTCGCCTCTCTGCCCACCTCTGCACCTTGCTGAATGACCCTGAGAGTGAAATGTGGTCACCGAACAGAAAGGTGCTTTGGAGACTAAAACCCTGAGCCAGCATTATTAGAAGGAGCATAATTCCTGGTGGAGAGAGTTCAGGGACAGGATGGACAGCCAAGAAAGCATCGAGTGGCTTGGGGAGGTGGGTTCTATCCACCCTGGGGGCTCAGGGAGGGCATCCTGGAGGAAAGGGCACCTGAACGCTGCCCTGAGACTTGACCAGGGTTTGTGTCGACTTGGGGCCTGGCAGGTGGCATTGTAGGCAGCAGACCAGCGGGGCCAAAGTTTGGCCACTGAAAAATGCCCTGGGCCAGCAAAGGAGAAAGGGGGGTGGTGTGGAGGAAAGTGAGGGAAGCCTGAGAGTCAGGCTGGCTTTGTGATGTTCACCTCACAGATAGAGAAACTGAGGCTAGGATGGGGAAATCCAGAGGCATGAGTAACTCTGGTGGGCGCTGGGATTCTCTCCTTCGTGGATTCCTTCCACCATAATAAAAATAATTACTTTTATTAGTAGTAGTATAATGATAGGTATCAATACTACATATTGAAACATACAGTTTAAATGTCCATTTTTTTTTCTTTTGGTTTTAAAAGAAGTTAAAACACTCTAGGGGCTGAGGCAGGAAATTGGCAACCAATTCAAGCCTAGTGTGGGCAACTTAGTGACTTAGTGAGACCCTGTCTCAAAAATTTAAAAAAAGAGCTGAGGATGTAGCTCAGTGCGAAAGCATTGAGTGCAATCCCCAGCATGCACTCAATCAACCAAGCAACAAAATAATACATTTTCCTGGGCTAACAAAAGTATGACAGCCCCAGGCCCTGGGCTTGCTGTGCCCCATGGAGAAGTCAGCCTGGGAAAGTGGGCCCAGTTTCCAGTGGGGCCAGTGTGGCGCTAGCCTGGAAGGTGATGGCCAGCTCTGAGGGCTCCATGTGGGTTGAAGCATGGCCACTTTCATCACTCGAGGAGGGCCAATGTGACAGTGGTCAGGCTGCGCACATGCTGCTCTTGGGCTACATCAACGTGCCGTGAAAATTATCAGGAAAGCGGATGAGCTTCGTGGCTGTGCAGCAGCAAGGGGGAAGATGGACACAGAAAGCAAACCCCAGCAATTCCACCCTGCAGCAAGTGTCAGCACAGGTCAGGTGCACGGGAAACAGACTGTGGTGTTCCCTGGTCGGGTTGAAGGTGGGGCCCAGGGACATGAAGCCTCACCCCAAACTGGCAAAGGATCCTGTCCATGTAGCAGCTCAGGGTCAGGAGGGCCTCTTTCACAGACATTTCCAGCCCTGTCCCACCTCCCAGAGCGATTTCCTCTGTCCCCCACCCCCACCTTCCTGCCTCCTCAAGAATCCAGGGGATGTGGGTCACTTTAGTCACGGTGCTGCTTGGCTGACACCCACTCCAACCCAGAGCAGGGTGGGGCAAGGAGGAGCAGGAGGAAGAGGAACATCCCCCCGCCTCCGGCTTCATTCTGCCTTCCCTGAATGCTGAACCCTGGGGGGATGGCCAGGATGGGGACACGGGCATTTCCCTGCTCCAGGAGCAAGGCTGTCAATGCCCTGCACATTGATTAAAAATCCCCCCAGGGCTGGGGATTTAGCTCAGTGGTTCTGCTGCCTGCCTCGAAAGCACAAGGTCCTGAGTTCAATCCCTGGTACCAAAAAAAAAAAAATCCTCCCAAAGCTGCAGCAGGCCCTAGCAAGCCCACTCGTGTCCCAAGAAATAGTTCCATAGGGCCACAGGCCATGTGAGCAAGGGTGCTTGTTGAGACAGCCTAGCCCAATGAGCCGCCAGGGATATCTCATGGCCATCAGTGGGGCATAGGACAGAGGAACTGTCCTCCCAGGCAGGATGTAAGGCATTCCAGCTCTTAGGAAGAATGCAGAGTTGGGCATGGTGGTGCATGTCTGTCATGCCAGCCCTCTAGGAGGCTGAAGTAGGAGGATCACAAGTTTGAGCCTTAGCATGATCCTACTCAAAATGAAAAAACTAAAAAGGGCTGGGGATACAGCTCAGTGCGAAGGCCCTGGGTTCAATCCTCAGTACTGTAAAAACAAAATGGAACAAAATACAGCCATTTAAGACATTGTAGAGGGTAAACTAGCTTGGGTCAATACACTGTGGGCTCCTTTATGTTCGAGAGAAACAGAGCCATCAAATGAGTGATTTCTCTTGGTTTAACAGAGGAGCAGATAAGCCCCCAAGACAGCAAACAGTGGGGTCCTCCAATGAGTGTCCCCCAAGAACAGCACTGGTGTTTTCCTGTGGCGCTTGAAGCTTTTATAAAAAGGCTATTCTAGTGCCTTACTGTTAAAATTAGAAATAAAAGCCAAAACATGCAAAAGAGAAAATAAAAATGCCTCCTGGTCAATTATGTTGTGAAATGGCTCAAAACAGAGACCAAGAATCAAGCCGGGCCAGCGAGCAGGTGATTGCAGAGTGGTGGGGAGGCCAACTTTCCGCCCCAGGCTCAGGCCCAGAGCCTGCCAAGACGCCCTCCCTGCCTTGCTGCCTCAGAGCAGGCAGGAAGCAGCTGTGGATCCCACTGCCTTCTTAGTCAGAAGGGGAAAATGAGGGCCTGGGGGTAGGGCCAAGTCAGCCCCCACCTCCTCCCCACTGTTCAGATCAACAGGCTCTTTTCGCACCCTCCCTCTGGCTCTCTAGCGTGCTCCACCATGGCCCACTTACTACATGATAGAGCTTCCAAAGCCACTTAACCTCTCCAAGTCTCCGTTCCCTGTCTGAGCAGGGAGGGTGCTAACATCTGCCCAATGGGATCATGGAGAACTGCAATTGAGACTGTGGAAGGAGACTGCTAGGGAACAAGCTGCTCCTACGCGCCTGGTCCCACCTCCCTCAGTTTCCTCTCCCAAACCAGCCTAGGTGAGTTGAAGACAGGGCCTTGTGACAATGGACGAGGACCTGGTGTCCTAGCTCTTGAGCCTCAGCTGGGGACTCCATTCCTGATGTGGGACTCTGCAACCAAGACACTGCCATGCTCTGGTGCTATGGCTTGGAAGTGTCCCAAAGATTCAGCTGCTGGAACCTGAATCTCCAGTGCAACAGTATTAGCCCACATAAGGGCCAGCGAATGGATTCGTGCTGACAGCACAGGACGGGGTTAGGCAGCACTGCAGTAGAATCGCTGCAAAGGCGGGTTTGGCCCCCTCTCACATGTGCTTTCTCGTCCTGTGACGCCTCCATCTGTGCTATGATACAGCAGGAAGGCACTCACCAGATTTGGCCCCTCAGTCTGGGGCTTTCCAAACTCATCAGCCAAATAAACTACTTATCAATCATCCAGTCTGATGGCAGCAGAAAATGGACTGAAGCTGGGTTTGTGGTGCTGTGGGACACACAGGCTTCTGCCATGGTTAAAGTCCTTTGGCACCTGAAGGCTCTTGGGTAAGTCCTTTTGCTCCCCTCAGACCCTCTCCTTGTCCACAAACAGGGACAACTGACCATTCACACCAGGAGGCCGGAGCACAGAGCTGGCAAGGTGGCCTCATCCAGTCCTCTGTGATGCTTCTTCTGCCCTGCCCCTCCCACACCAGGCCCCTGGGGAGGCAGTGTGGCTCACCTGGGCACCAGGCATTGAAGAGCAGGGTGAAGTGCCCCAACACGAAGCTGGAGCCCTGGTAGCCTGTGGAGGCTTCCAGACTGAGGCGATATAGGCCAATGGGGGCGTCAGCCGGGGTGTTGAGCAGCAGCGAGAGGACACCATCCTGCTGGTCCACCGCTGAGGCTGACCAGGCACACCCATCCACAGCATCGGACAGCGAGAAGCGAGCCTTGGTCCCGGCCTCTTCGCTGGGGGCTGGGCCTGCGGAGGGAAAATGCGTCAGCTGTGAACCAGGGTGGACAGGGTAGGCAGGGGCAGAGCATACATCTGGAGTCCTATGGCCTGGGGTCAAGGATTATTTCACCACTAATCACTGAAGGAAGTCCAGCAAGAGGTGTCCATCTCCCAAGCCCCAGCTTCCTCATCTGTAAAGTGGGAATCAGAACACCAGTCTTGCAGGGCGGTTTTGTGGGAATGCATGAAAAGCCACAGACACACAGAGGGTCCACAACTTGAGAGAGCAGAGCACAGCCTGGGGCAGAGCCTCAGTCACTCGGATCAGTCTCATGGTGACTTTGGACAAGACCACCCCTCTCAAGGTTCAGGTTGCCTATCTGTCATTTGGGCAGAAATCAGGCAAGATGCTCCCAGGGCTCTCTGTCCCTGCCTAAAACTGTTACCTGCCACCTCCTGCTCTCCCTTCAGAGACAGAAGAAGTACACTCTGTGCAGGATAGGCTCGATCCTTGGAGACCCCTGGCTATAGCTAGAAGTCTCTTTAGGGACCCTTCCACCTGGGGACCCCTGGGTCCTTGAGGCGGCTCTGAGATGCCAGCCATACTCAGCCCTCACTGCCTTCTCTCTTGGTGCTGGGCTTTGCACCTCCTGCTTCCTCTGAGACCCTCTGGGGGAGAGGGGGGCAAATAAGCGAAGACAGGAGGCTCCCGGGAGTCCCCAGGTTGTGTAACGTGAGCATCTGAGCCAGTTCTGGGGCTCTCAGGGTTGCCTCTCCTTCCCAGAGGATGTTCCCTAACAGGGTCTCAAAGTGACTTGGACAGTGTCACAAACGAGGCTGCTTTCTCAGGTGGAGGAAGGCAGGACCCACGCAGGCAGGTCTGAGTCATGGGCAGGGTGGGAGGGGCTGGTCACTTTCTGAACATGGGCGTCGGAGAGGAGAAACAGAGCATGTTCTCTGCCCTGCTGGGTGGCTGCCCAGGAGGGTTTATTTTTATTCCTCTGTCTCTGAGGCTGTAGCTCTGCCTACCCTCTGCCGACAGTGCCAGGTCCTGCTCACCAAGAGGCTCCCCCCAAGCACTGACCCTCCTGCTAGCCTGCCAGCCCCGCCTTTGCCCCCAGCCCGAATATAGTATCCAAGTGGCGACAGACTACAGATACGGCCCAGCCTCTGGGGCCTGGCCAGGGGTTAGGAGCCTAATGGAAGGTTTTAAAGGCTCCTTGACTTCTAGAGGTGATGTTTGGGGAGGAGCCAGATCACCCTGAGGTCCAAGAGCCACCCTAAGTCTAGTTCCCTGCCTCTACCCCAGAGTGCTGTGTGACCTAGGTGGAGCCCCCAGGCCTCTCAGATCTGCAGTGTTTTTATCAAAGAGGAAAATGGATTTGACCTTATGGCAGGGGAGATCCCATTCCAGGTCTGAAAAGGAGCTCATACCTTAGACAGGTTATTTAGCCTCTTGGTACCACGGTTTCCTCATGTGTAAAATGGGACCAGCTCCAGGACCACTCCCAAGGCTGACGTGAGTGCTAATAAACAGGTATTACTAGTGCACGTTATTGTCACCACTGCTGCCTAGTGCTGCTGAGAGGCCCAGTGAAAGTTCATGGAGAGCAGCGGCCAATTCATGGTGACTACACAGCAAACGTGCACTATCCTCAGTCTCATCAAAAGGGACCACTAAGCTGGGTGTGATGGTGCACGCCTGTGATCCCAGCACTGTGGGAGGCTGAGGCCAGAGGGTCACAAATTGGAGCCTCGCCTGGGCAATTTAATGAATTATCTGAGGCTCTGCCTCAGAATAAATCAAAAGGGCTGGAGATGCAGCTCAGTGTGTCATGGGCACGGGGGGGGGGGGGGGGGGGGGG